AAACCCTAAACCCTAAACCCTAAACCCTAAACCCTAAACCCTAAACCCTAAACCCTAAACCCTAAACCCTAAACCCTAATGGGCTGATTTTATATGGATATTAATATGGAAATTTTGCCTTGATATTGTTGATATTTTGATAAGTTTTATGAGACTTTACTGAGTTTTATGGAATTTTACATGGTTCTCATTCTTTGTATAGAAATGGGCTTCAATGCATAAAAAAATAGCTTTTGGGATTAATTTAACTTCTTCTGAAAGTTGAGGGACTGAATTGCAAGAAGAAGGGCATCTTTTTGGGACCTTAATGATTGAATCTTGAGATTTGGGATCTAAGTGCTCATTGTACAAAATCTGGAGGACCATATTTGCTATTTTACCATTGAGGAAATTGTGAAGGAAGACAAGAAACTCGACACGGGTGTAGTGTTGACACATAATCGATGTGTCGACATCATGCGTTAAGCGTCCAGAATTAGACTTTGTTTCCTTTTTTGTATCAACACGTAATTCGGGGTGTCGACACCATGCGTTCAACATCCAAAATTTCAACTTTCCTATTCTGTTTTAAGTCCTAGTTCTATTTCAATTAGAGTTTCTAAAATCCTATAAATACCCATCCAAATTCAGAATTAAAGGAGTTGGTGGAGGCTGGTGGCAGCCCTCGTTTGTTCATTATTGAAGATCAAAATAGAGGTTCCATCAACAATAGAAGATTAACGAGTTTGATTTCCTCAAATTGGATTTTATTTTTTCTTGGATTTTTATCTATTGTTTGATATTTGAATATTTATAACTATGATTTCAAAATTTATTATTTTTATTGTGAACTAATTTATTCTACTGGGGTTACGATGTAGCCTAATTAATTCATTATAGATTTTGTGATTTTATGCTTTCAATTAAAGTTATTTGCATGAAAAATTTATATTATTGAACTCTGATCATCTTTCAATTGATTTAGTGATTTATGCATGAACTTGAGAAAAAATTGCGTAGATTAGACCAATAATAATATAAACCGTGTGTTAAACTATGAGACCAAGAGGTAATTAACTCACATGTGGTAGAGGAAGAGAAGAGAGTTAGGAGCTCCCCCTTCTTAAGCTAGTGGTTTCCATAGAATTTAATGCTCATTAGTTTGTTTAAAATTACATAGAGATATGATTAATTTAACAAACAAGTGAAGGATTAACTTGGCTTGAGAAAGTTAGTTAATTAATTTAGGGAAATCCGCCATCACATGCAATAACACTCAACAAATTAGCATATTAATCGAGAATTTATATTGATTGATTATGAAGAAATCAATGCCTTAATACCTCATATCTTGGTTAGGTTTAATTTAATTGTTATTTTCCTTTTATTATTTTTTAGTTAAACTTTCTTCCTTTTCGATAATTCAAATAAATTTAGATTAATTATTTTGGTACTTAATTAGACACAATCCTTAGGGGTTCGA